TGACTATGCTGTGCTAGGTCTAAGCTACAGCTCTTTAATATTCATTGAAAATTCCTAAACAAAAGACAAGACTCTGAAAAAAAAAAAAATCTCATTTTAAAACTAGGCTGTTGAGGGATATTAGCGCTGAGAGTAACTGCAATACAAATGGCATTTTGCTTTTTCTCTTGTGTTCACCTCCTTTATTCTATGTTTGTTCCTAAACTCAAAGCTACGTTACTGCTCTCCAGTGTTCAATCACACCGAAGGTATTTAGGCACCCAAGTATTCAGCCAGGGTAGCCCCTAACTCTCTTGTACAGTGAGCGGGTCGCCCGAGGCAGCAGGACGGGTCTGTGCTAATGCTAGAGGTGAAGCTTGGGCATCCTTCACCCCAAGCGAAAACCAGAACCTCAAAACCACCCTGAGCCAGTCAGGAACAATTCCCAGGAAAGAGATGCTCATGTGTGCCAAGAAACCTGGGGAGGCACTGTAACATTCGCTTTGGCAGATGTCTTGGCAGCAATCAAAAGTCTTTCTCAAGCTGCTAGGTCACATTCCCGTTGACCACGTTGCTGGGTACTGGGAAGCCATTCCCACAGGTTCCTCCTGGCTCCCTGAGCTGGTCGCTGCGGTCCCTCCTTGCTGCTGGTTATCTCTTCCTTCTGCCCCAAACCAGCCAGGTGTGAGGCTTTGCAGCAGTGGGACCAGCACCATCCTGCCGGGCCTTGTTGTTGCAGTGTCTGCAGCCACCGCACCTCGGGCTGCCTTGGCAGCCCCAGCGGTGTTTGAAGCAGGGCCCGGCTGGGTGCCCGACTTTACTCCTGTTCACAGCTGTCTGTGTGCTGGGCTGGTCACAGAACTCACAATGGAGGTCTCCATGTCCCATGAAGCCCATCGTTTTGCGGGATGTCCAGTGGAGCACTGTGCATGAAAGATGAACTAATCACCTTCTGGCAACTGCCAAGGGTACACGTATTTCATGTCCCTTCAAGTATGCTAAAGCTGACACTCCCTAAGCATACTTTGGAGGGTTTAAACAGGGAACTGAGTTCTGCTCGTGTCCCTTTCTCAGTTCAGAAAAGAAGGGGTGCAGCTGCGAGGGATTTAGTGTGTGCTTCAGCCCTGACCCCTTGCTGCAGCCGCTTTGATGTCACCAGTATATAACACTGCTGTGGAAACTGGTATGGACCAGGCAATAAACACGAACAGATGGTGAAGTTGTAAATGAGGGTGGGTGCCGCGAGTTTGCATTTTTCCCTTCCCAGCACTGCTCTTGCTGTTTGTGTTTTTCAGGTGTGAGGTTGGCACCACACACTGGACCCAGTGCAATGAGACTCCCGTGAAGTTTGCTCGTTTTCCCGTCACTGGTCTGATTGAAGGCCGTTCCTACATTTTCCGAGTCCGAGCTGTCAACAAAGCTGGCGTCAGCCTACCGTCCCGGGTGTCAGAGCCCGTGGCTGCTCTGGATCCTGCAGACAGAGCCAGGCTTAGAAGTAAGATGTGCTTTGTGCAGGTTGCCTGAGAGGTTTAAGAAGTCAAAACTTATTAAAAAAGAAAAGAAAAAAGTACGACTAGCTACTCATAAACCTTCGAAATCCCACTAGAGGGAGCAATGAAAAAAACAAAATATTCTTTGGAGACAGCTTTGCCAAGAAGAAATCATCTCGGTGCTCTTTGTACAAAGTGCTTTATCTGCCGAAATGCCTTTGGCTGGCTGCGGTGGAAGCGGGGAAAAGGCACAGGAGAGCTAATTTCCTAAAGAAACTCGCTTTTGTTCAGCCAACAAAATAGCTGAGCAGATCCTGTGAATAGTCTCTCTCTGAGCCACAGACAAGGGCGGCTGATTCTGTGCTCATGTGACGATCAAAGTCTTGCAATAACATCAGCACAATGCCAGGGAAGCCCAACAGATCCCAAACTCTCTACTTTAAAGTTAACATTTCACAAGTCAAGTATGTCTCCTGTGGCCTGGCAATGTCGCAGACATTTTGCTTCCAAATCCACCTCTCTACCCATATGCCAAAATCATATGCCTAAATTCCAATTATTTCTACTCGTTTCTGAAGTTTTATTGTTTAAAATGGTCCAATGTGAGGGGCTGTTGTATGCAAAGCTACAGGGGTCCCATGGTCCTAACTTCTATGTCTTACTGTATATAACACTGCAAGCTACAGACTGCAGTCAGATGATCCAAGGTTCCCATTCAAAATAAAAACAAAAGGCTGGGGGAAGGAGGTTTCGCACTGCCGGGAAACGTTGTGCTCAGACAGACATGTGAAACCTGAAGTCTGGGGGAGGCCTCTTCTCAATGAGAAGCATGGAAGCTGCCTCGGGAGATGAAGTCTGGTCTTGGTGACCGATTGCCATTATATCTCCTCCTACTCTTGTCCCTCATGATCCTCTTTCCTCCCCACCTGCTCCCTGTCTGCTCTCATCTCCAAACCAGATCAGCCAACGTAAGGTGAAGCACGTGGAGGTGGAGAACAGCATTTGCAAAAATTCTCTCTGAAAGTGCATTGACCTGGTTGACAGCTGAATGCATAACTGCGATAATATGGTAATGTAGAGGCGCTGAGAGAGCCACCCAAATCATATCAAGTGGATATGTTGAGTCAGGCTGAGCCGTTTCTGTTTGTGACTGTGACCCAGGATTTGGAAGCTGGTAATATGAGGGAAAGTGGTTAGAAAGAGACAAAGAGCAGCCTGCAGGAATTTGGCGGTTCCTTTAATGAGTGAGCTGTTAAACCAAATGAATAGGGTATGGAAAATAAAGTTGAAGTTAATTCTCTGAAAACGATGAGCTGAGTGAGCCAAATACCTCTGCTTGTCACCTAGGTGACTTCAGTGACATTTCAGGAAGGAATAGATGTTTCAGTGGATTAAATTTTCTAACTATATTGATGGCTGATCTGTTCTCGATATTTGAGCTGGTAAGCCTACAACTAGCTAGGTTAACTAGCTTGCTACATGAGCAACAGTCACAGCAGTAACCAAAAACGGAGTTCACGTGAATCTTGCAAATGTTAGTTTTGAACCACAAAAGAGTCAGTTTTCTCATTATTTCAAAAGTTCCTGAAGTCTCCCGTTTCCATGATACCTCTGACGTTTGTTTCAGGTCATCCTTCTGCTCCCTGGACTGGACAGATTATTGTCACTGAGGAAGAACCTGCAGGTAAACACAGCTCTTTTGCCTACAAAAGTCTAATGTGAAGCTGGCTGAGTCATTAGGAAGACTCTCAGTGAGTTCAGTGGACTTTGGCCCACACCCAGAGTTCATTGTTCCGAGAGTCACTTGACCTTGAATAACTCGCAACTTGGTTGTCGAGGTGAGGTTTCATTATTCAGGACCTAACAAATAAACATGCTTAGAGTTAAAAGAAGGACATTTAAAACCAGTTTTCAGAAGGCTTTTAACTCTACATTTTAAAAAAGTATCAGGTGCCAAGGTATATTAATACTCCTTCTAAATTTGAATTATGGCACTAATTCTGATACAAATATGAAGGAATTTAAATCCCAATTCCCTTTCCTATTCTTCTCCCCTGTTCTTCAGAGGGTGTTGTTCCTGGTCCACCTACAGACCTCCAAGTTATTGAAGCCACCAAGAACTATGTTGTGCTTAGCTGGAAACCTCCTGGACAGCGGGGCCACGAGGGTATCATGTACTTTGTGGAAAAGGTAAAATTGGACAAAATCAGAATCATGTTGTGACAATCTTTTACATTTGTTTTGCCATCTCTTCTGGACTTTTAGTTAACTTTCATTTCCACCTGAGATGTTCAAAACTAGGGCCAGGACTAGAACTTCATCAAGATAACTGGTACTGTAGATTAAGATAAACTAGGAAGAAAAGAAGGATGGGAAATAGGAAAGTAGATGCAGAATGTGTCACACGCTGTTATATCCTTTTATGAATTGTGTCATTGACCTACCCTGGAGTAGACAGGCTGACAAACTCCCTCTATAATGAGAAAGCACAGAGCAAAGTCACATGTGGTTTTTTTTTTCTCTCTCTCTCTGAGATATGTACATATGATATATACAAAAATATATATGTTTATATATATAATACATGATATATACAGAAATATATTTTTTATATATAAAAAAATTAAATTTTTTACAAATGAAGCTTGTCCGGTGGGACAGATTGTTGACATTTTGGATGGAGGCATTCTGCAAGAGTTTCTTGGCATCAGCACTTTCTCCTCCAGCTGCCTTTTCATATTTACCCTCTACATTAACTTTCCGTTTGCTTCACCAACTCAACAAAGATGACAAAATTTCTTTTCTAGAGTAGAATCAGTTTTAATTTCAGTGTCCTGCTTTTCTGAGATGTTTTTGCATGGCTGCTAGCCTAGAAAATTCTCCACACCATCAACCTTTTTACTTGTATCTCACGGCTCACAAACTTTTTTATCAATGCTTTTCCCTATCAGTCTAGAGGTGTCATCAAGGGAGACATAAATATCTTCCCATTATGTGTTTTTCATCTGTCTTACAAAATCTGTTCTAAATAAATGAGTTTCACTTAGCAACAGACTTGGAAAGGATGAATACATGAATTTTGAATTTCCATATAAGACAGCTTTTTAATAACCTATTGCATGCAGAGTAGTGAGCACTAATGTCACATAGTCAGATAACGTTCTCCTAAGAATTTGAAATCCCTCAGAAACCAGAACAATTACTTGAAATTTTCCTTAATGTAAATCACAGGCAAAAATGATTTACTAATATTAATGGTAAGTGATCATGGCACATAGAGCTTCTAGCTACAGAAATAAAAACAATTCACAAATTAATAGCACGAGTTAAATTTTTTCTGGAAAATGAAGGTCAGATCCTGATTAATTCTGGAAGCCACTCCAAAAACATTAAGAGTGACACAAGAGCATCTAGAAGCAATGTGGTAATGTTGGGAGTTTTATTCTCTGGATGTTGTTGAATGTCTGCAGAACTTATTTTGAAAGTGGTCCAGAACTGGATGGAGTTAATAATAACATCACTTCCTTGCAGTGGAGAGAAGTTTAGCTTTGATGTATGAAAACCAGTAAGCTTTTATGTACGTTTTCTGGAGTAGGTGGACATCTGGCAGATTCATAAGCTTTGAAATATGCTCATTCTGTGGAAAGGCCCCAAAAAGGAACGTGACTCCCTGCTCTCCGTAGCAGACATGCATTTTGTGGTCCGGGTAGAAAGTGTTGTCGCGTTAGCCACTCAGCTTTCAGAGACTTTTGTTCCAAACACGGTTTCTGGGTTTGACTGCAGTGCATTGCCGGCACAGAGGACTGGCAAAGGGTGAACACCGAGATCCCTGTGAAGTCTCCTCGCTTTGCAGTTTTTGATTTGGCTGAAGGCAAATCCTACTGCTTCCGAGTTCGCTGTTGCAATTCAGCTGGAATCGGTGAACCTTCAGAAGCAACTGAAGCCACTGTAGTGGATGACAAACTCGGTAAGTGTATGGTTGTATGTATTAGATTATTTCCATGGTATCTTTTCTGTTTGTGATGTAATTGTTTTCTCTGAAGACAGATAGCTGCCCAGTAAATAATTCACGTATGAAAAGTAATCAATGATTTATTCCCTTTAGCTAAAATAATTTTGGTTTGGGTTGTTGAACCTTTAATGTATAGTCAAATGATAGATGCAAACCAAGGAAATTAAGCTGCAAATAACGATGTCAAGAACTGCAAAGGCTGTAAATAGTGAAAGAAAATGAAAACTCAAGGAACTACAAAAATGTTTGGTTTTACTTAGAGTCCTTATTGAAAATAAGCCCAGACATCAGCAGAGTTTAACCTTCCTTGTTTGCCAAATTAAACAGAAGTGAAGAATTTAATACTTACATGAATGGAGAGACTATTTCCACTGGAAGAGAGGCCAAGATGTTCACCACAGTAAAGCATCAATAGCTACACTTACATTAGAATCTGTTTCCAAACAACAATGCAGATTTCAGTCCAATTCCCGGATTGTCTCTGTTCGCTTATATTGGTTGAGTTCTCAGAGCAGTTTGTATATGAACTACATTCTTTAAGAAGAGTAAAACAGCTCTCCTTGAAAAACACTTTAGATGCATTTTGCTGCTTAACAGGGGCATTGGTTTCTGACTTATTCTGTGGGCTGCACAAAATCTTCAGTGTGCAACTACAACATTCTCCCTTTTAGGAAGCTCCAAATCACATCTCTGGTGCAGATGTTCAGCACAAGGGAATAAGCTAAATCTAATTTGAAGGAAATGCCCTGAATCACAGGCAATGGAGAAGTGAGGAACCTCACCACCAAAGGCCTGAACCTACAGATCCTGTCCTGTTGTGCTAGATTGCTTAATTTAAATCAGGGGAGTTTTTTGAGGGTTAAATCTGTATTAGTCATGCTAATATAATCAAGAATAGAATGTCATCCTTATTTTATTTGTAAATTTTGACTGGCTGGTCACTAATTTATTTCTGTTTCTCTTGCACAGATATTCCCAAAGCTCCTGGCCGTATTATGCCAACTAGGAATACAGATACCTCAGTTGTTGTCACTTGGACAGAGCCCCCAGATGCCAAGGAGCTGGTTGGGTACTACATTGAGTCAAGTGTAGTTGGATCTGGTCGTTGGGAACCATGCAACAACAATCCAGTGAAAGGCACAAGGTAATGGATTTTAAAGCATGGAAATGATGGTCCCCAGTTTTTGTTTTACTGGATCTATGTGTTCTCCGGCCATTAGCAGTGGTAGAGTTAATCGCTCTGTGGCAGCCAGCAGGCTGGAATCACTCTTGCAGGTGAAGTTCATAAGAAGTTATAAAAACATATTTCAGACTGTGAGTCTTGTCCAAAAGGAATTTATAATCCACCTTATATTAGAAACAATTAGTCAAGAGGGAGGGAATGTGGACGTTGCCAGTGAAGAAAAGAGAAGTAGCTCGCTAGTTCTAGCTATTGTACAGCCTATCAGTTTGATGAAAAACAGTACAGTGAGCAATGACTAAAATTACAAATGTGGAAAATTAAACTGCATAATGTTCAGAAGCAAAGTCCTTTGTTTCGGAAGACTGCTGTAAACATTTCTGGACTGTATATTTAGAATGTCAGGAGGACACGTGGACTATATCATGCTAAAAATATTTTCTAGCTGCTCTTTCACTTGCAATTATCAAGATATTAATGAACACTCTTAAATATTGGGTATAAACTCACATTTCTTACAGACATGAAGCTCAGTCTCTAGACAGAAAAAATAATCAAGATTTAAAACTTTGCAAGCTAAATCAGATTTGGTTTTGTTTGAATAAGGATGTAATCTTCAGAGTCTAAAGGAGTAATCGCAGAACCTGATCTCAAGTGAACTGATGTCAATCCAGAAGCAGTCCCTGCTTGTTATGACTGATTATGCTTATTTGTTACTGCTGACCATGGCAACCCTTACGGCAATAAGTAAGGCACTGCTAAATACTCTCGGACCAACTTTGTTGTTTAGAAAGGCATTGTAAATGCTTAGTATATCAAAAGTACCTAAAACCCCACTTGCTTGAACACAAGCACAACAATTTCCTTTAAGTATTCTTTTGTGCATTTATATTGCAACAACTGTATGTGCCAATATAATATACTTTCATATATACCTCTATGATTTATATTGTGGTTACATCAAGTGCTGGTGAAGTTTTGTGCTGTTTGCTTATTTTAAAACACGAAAAGTGATCTTTATTCACCGTAGAAATAAAAATATTGTTCTGAGTTACTGTATGTTGTGACGTAACTACACCGCTTAGGTTCCTGTCACTGCATTTTTAGTCAGTGCGAAATCATGTACGACGGAGTCAAGCACAGGCTGTCTGTTAACTCTTGGCTTTTCTGGTTGAGTCAATCTCAAAGCATTAGCTGTAGCTCACAGTTTGCATTATGCTGTATATTTTGATCTTTTGAAATCTGTTTTCACCACACATCCTGGTGAAAGCAAATGATTTGGAAAAGTCTAGTAGAATGGGTAGGGAAAATACTGCTCTGTTCAGATTTTATTTTTTCCCCAAAATAAAATTTTGAATTTGAAATCAATTTTGTTTTCCACATTATATTTGCTTTGTACATCATTGTATGATGTCAGCATTGGTAGTGCAAGATGTGACATTGTGAAGTAGAACAAAATAAAAGTAACATGAAATAAAATACATTTAAAATACCTATTGAGTAATAAATGTTGTTTTAAATAAAATGTTTACATTTCCAAAACACATTTTTTCCAAAATAAACGATTCCTGTCTTGAGAAATTTTGTGTTTCCACACCAGAGAAAATTTATGAGGTTTTTTATGTGATCATTAGGTAATCCAGGAGAAAAACTGTTCTAATGAAAGAGTTTGTCTGACTTAGATTATTGTGTCATGTATAGAAGCAAGAAAGTGAAATAAAAAAAAATTGGACGCTTTTTTTCTAAAACTCTTGTACAATGCCCTGTAATTTTTTTGAACACTGCAATTTTTCATTTATGATTGGAAGTGAATTATGGGAACTTGTGCTACAGGTGTCTTTTACTGATGTCGTGTAGATATCCCACAAGCAGATATAGACCTTATCTCTGGAGATAGTCACATTGTGTCCGTTAGGAAGTATGGATTTTATATACTAGCAGAAGTAAGGTAGACCCTCTAGTAACACAAAAACTTGTGTAGTCTTAAGAAGGGAAGAGTGTTGGTAAACGGTATGTCTAAAGAGACATGGTTTTAGACATGATCTTCGTTGCATGCCTGATGTGCTTAGATACATTTTGCATTCTCTGACATTCATTTAAGTGACTGGGGTCATGGTTTATCCTCAGTTTTCAGAAACTAGAATAAAATTTATGGAAGAAATGCCTTCTTTTCCCCCTTAAGATTTTTATTTTCTTCATAATACTTTCTAAGTATTCCTTCACTGGTTTGTTTTAGATTCATTTGCCATGGGCTCATCAATGGTGAGAAGTACATTTTCAGAGTCAGAGCTGTTAATGCAGCAGGACTCAGTGAATTTTCACAGGATTCGGAGCCTATAGAAGTGCAAGCAGCCATTGGTAAGCTATTTTCCATTGCTCTTTTCAATGGTAAATATGGGTTTTTTTAAATTAAGTAAAGATGTTTTCAGCAACTTTTTGTAACTAATTGTTTTGTTTTGCAATGCTGTCCACAAATAATAATTTATCCATAGATCCTATGGTCTCACAGCCATAGTTTCACAGTCACTGCACTCTTGTAGACTGCTCACCTTCACCATCCAGTCTTCTTCAGGTGTTTCTTGTGAACCACTGTGAGAGAGCACTGCCAAGTTTACTTCATAGGTATCCTGGAAAATGGAATGTCATTCTAATTCCGTAACATGGTATTTATCCCCTCTAACGCACACCAGCCTATATACAGTCAGTTCCTAAGAAATTTGTTTCCATACCTAAACCTAATAATCAGTGCAATGTGTCTTTTGTAAACCTTCTATAACCCTGTGTGGTCTCCCTTTGTTGATGAATTATTTCCGTTTGCCACTGCCTGAACTAATCCATAAAGATTAATGAGATCACTGGGCTAGAATAAATTGTATGTCTGCAACACCCTCACTCTCATTTGTATCAAAACTGCATACCTCTCAACCTTAGAGCAGTGAGATGTGGCCTAGGGCAATTTTGTGAGATCATTGTGAAAAGATCAGAAATATGACTTGGAAGATCTAATACTAAAATAATTGTAGCAAATGAAGATTGCTATTAACTTTCCATATTTCTTCTGCTCTGAAAAGTAGACATTATTAAAAGAGCATTACTTGTGAGCAGGTTGAGAGGTATTCTATGCATTTCAAATTTTTATGAATTCAAGCTTAACATTTTGTGTGTAAAACCTGTCATTTGTTGTACTTCAGCTGTATTGTTCACTGCATGCATTTCTTCATTCTGCTGACTAAATGAAGAAAAAAGAATGTATTCTAATTCAAAATGTCTTTGCTGTTTCTTGGCAATTATAGGGGGAGGATTGCTTCATGGTGTGTGTCCTGAACTGAGTGGTAAAGCTGGTGGACTAACAGACCGCACTACCAGCTGGGAAGGCATGCATGAGTCCTCCCAGCCTATCTTTGACACAGATGCTTTGCTAAAATGCAATGCTAAATATAATAGAGAGACACTACCCAGTAGCTCTGACAAACTGGGGAGTACAGGAGACAATAACACGAGAGAAATGGTTAAGGACGCTGTCACATCTGCGCCACAAAAAGTTGCTGCTAAGCAGGCAAGTAAGTCTCAACCCAGGGATCTTTTGACACTGGAAAAAGTGACAAAGAAGAACGATACAGGTGAGAGTTAGTAAAATAAATAGATTTTGGTACATCCGCTTCAGTCAGTTGTAACCTCTGCTCGTCCGCACCACACGTGAATGCGCTCTCCAGTGATGCATCTTCCATCAGGCCCGTTAATTACATGCTCAACTCTCTGTTAAGATCATTACACATGTAATGGTGTCGGAGACCACTTTACGAACTCAGTGGCTACTGAAAGTGAATCGTATAAATCTGTTTACTAATTTCATAGCTTGTTTGACTACATATTAATGTATCCAAGATACTGTATTATTTCTAAATCACTTCAGTAATTTGTTAGGAGTCTTGTTACCTAATCTCTGCGTTATGTATGTGTGAAAGAAACAAAATCTGATTATGGTGGTTAAGCATGAAAATTTGTGTGGTGTTAGGATATATGCCTAACTATTGTGGATTTATGCTTAAGCTACAGCTTATCCTGTGAGACACAGCACTAATGAATATTGTATCTCTGACTGACAGCAATATGCAATGAGGAGAACCTATCAAGTTGAAGGCACATGCACAAAATCATGTTTTATGTTGTCAACACCTAAACACCCATTGTGCCTGAAAAATGTGGGGCTTGAATTTCATTTAAGTGCAGGTACATGGCCAGTGAACTGAACCCCTCCCCAGACCTCTGAAGTGAGACTCAAAAGGCTTGTGCAAAGTGGCGAACAGAAAACAAAGCAGAGGCACCTGGGGCTAGCTGACACTGATCTAAAACATTAAAGACAAAAGGGAACATATATGATGCAGGATTTCCATCAAAAGTAGGACTTCACGGTCACAAGTAGGGTTCTTCATCGGTATATGACATATTGGGTGTGAGCAAGCATTTCTCCACTAGATACAGAAATGGGTTGGGGTGAAGTTAATGATTTCTGTTTTGTTAAAAAAAAATTAAAAAGAGGATTATGCCACATTTTTTTTAATGTAAGTTCCAGTAACAGACATGTTCCGTTTTCTGGTCAGTCTACAGTGCCTATGATCACGCTTCCTTCCATTAAGGTAAGATCATGTGATGGGTGCAATGATAAAATTTGCACAGTGTAAAAATTTAAAATAAAACAGAAAAAGAATGAACAGATAAAGTTCATTCTCAGAAAAGAAGAATGTGGGCCTATTTAAAAAAAGGAACTACAACAAATATTGTATGTGTGAAAAAGGGTTTGCTTTCAAGAAAACAAATCATTGCATCTCCAATTTTTTTACTTTTCCTTTAATGTTAGTTTTAATTCCTCATTTTTCACAGTTTTAAGCAAGTCCTGTTCACCTACATCAGAGCTGCAATTGCAACACATTCTTTCACTATGTATCAACTTGCTTCTCAAAACCCAAATGATCATGAAAACTAATTCCTATGCAGTTTGGACTTCTTTTGGTTTATGGAAGCTTTTTATCCTGCATTTCTTATTCCAACTCCAGAAACTTCCCTTGACCACATAAATATTGTCCTAATTAGAAAATGCAGGATGGGAGCCACCTGAATACGGTAATTGAATGCCAGTCTGACTATTGAAATATTAATTCCTACTTATGTATTATTCACGTTGAAACAGCTGCTCCATCTCCACCTTATGACATCATGGTACTTGAGAGTGTTCGTGACTCGATGGTATTAGGATGGAAACAACCTAAGGTCACTGGTGGGACTGAAATTACTGGCTACTATGTGAACTACCGTGAAGTGGTTGATGGAGTTCCTGGGAAATGGATGGAGGCCAACATTAAGGCCATTAGCGAGAGGGCATACAGGGTAAGAGGTTAACGGCTGTTCTTGCTGTGGGTGCAGACAATATTTCCAAAACAGATCTCAAAGACAGATTGGGATGAATTATGATTCAGTGTACAGACTGCTGTTCAGAGGGTTTTATATCCATGATGATAAATTTATTTAGCTCTGTTAAACTTCTCTGCAAAATTATTTGTACACTTATCTGTTAGTCTGGCACCAACCGTCATCTGTGAATTCACTACTCTAGACAGAGCCTGATTTTTTGTAAGTCAGGCCCTCACAAGAAAAGGCATTCCTACTGGGATTGGTGGACCTACCCCAGTGCTTGCTGGTGCTGGAACCGGCTCTGTGCCAGCTGTATTCTGTGATCAGTTCTTGACCCAATTCAGAGATAGTGCTACCTACCACCTCGTTGAGCTGCTTTACAAATGAAAAGCAATGCCAGGACTGAGTTTCACCCCACTGTGAGGGCAACTCTTGCCTTAGGTGAACTTGCTCTGCATCACGAGGCAGATTAATATGATTGTTGAGCAATACCCTGCTCCCTCCCTGACTACCAAAGTGTCTATCAATAGGAAAAGAAGTTTACAATCTGAGTGTGCTGAGACCACTCAGATATGCTCCACCACCGGTTAGAGGAAAAGCCAAGATAGTTATCGCCTTATGTATGATGTCAATAATGCTTTTATCTTTTCAGGCACTTAAATGCTCACGCGTTCAATAATTGTCATTGTGACTTTCTTCCAAAGCCTTAATCCAAAGTTAATAAGTACCATCTTATTGATTCTGCAGATTCAAAACCTGAAGGAAAACATGGTGTACCAGTTCCAGGTGGCTGCTGCTAACCTGGCTGGGGTTGGGACACCCTCCCTACCCAGCCAGCCCTTCAAATGTGAAGAATGGACCATTGCTGTACCTGGTAGGGTCCTGAGTGGGAGGTGGGGGTGACTCACAGGCCAGGGGTGGTCTGTGACCAATTACCTAAGTTCTCAATGCCTTCGGTTTCCAGGGGAGTCAATGGGCATTGAAGTTCATACCCAGGCTTGAATCTCCATTGCTTTGATTTAGTACATTTACGATGATGCATTAAACAATCCCTATTTAATTAGTAGCATTTTACAAGCAGCTTCTATTTTCTTTATCTCTCCTGCTTGGTTCCTGTACTGTGTCTGATACTTTGCTTCCTGGTTTAAATGGTAGACATAAATACCTGTCTAAGGTACAAGGCAGAGAAGAATGAGGTCCAGTAACCCTTGTCTAAATGTATCACTTCAAGGCCTGATCGCTGGCCTTTTAACACTCATTGAAATGATTGAAAACGACCTCCGTTGACTTCAGTGGACTTTAGAGCAGTCCTTGAAGCAGCACATTAGCTTAATAATTAACTTCCCTGAGTTTGGAAATTATTTGTCATTTTTGTTTGTTCATGAATATTTGATCAAGATACCAGTCTCAACAAATTGGATTGGTTTTTGGGCTAGCCTTTTTTAGTAGACATGGGTTGTATTTATATCAGGTCTAGATATGATACAGAGGAGCTGCACGTGTTATGTACCACATGGTGTGTGGTTTTGGTTTCTGAAGTCTTATGCATTAGGCCCTTTGGGATTTATTTTGATACCACAACTCCAACTTTTACTCTTACCTTTCAGGGCCACCCCATGATGTCACATGCACAGAAGTTAGGAAGGACTCTTTGGTTTTACTGTGGAAGGAACCAGTTTATACTGGTCGCAGTCCCATAGCTGGTTATTATGTTGATATGAAGGAAACTGAAGCAAAGGAGGAACACTGGAGAAGTGTCAATGAGAAGCCACTTCAAAAGAAATTCTTGAAGGTAAATAGCGTAAGATTCAAATACTGGTATAACAGTATAACCTTGAGGGACTCAGCCTTTGATAGCATCATCCTGTGCTGATCATGGTTCCATTTAATGAAATACTTAGTAGGCTATGTTGTGCTGAGGATGCAGGCGTGTAATGCCTGTATAGTCAGACAAGACAGTAACTCAGAAGCAAATCTGGTATGACAAGCCTAAAAGTAAAAGAAAGCACTGCTAAAACCAAATACTGTAGTTGTAACACTGGAGGCATCCCTCGCATTTTCTGGCTCAAAGGGCAAGCTGGGGATCACTGCACAAAACCAGATGTTGTGACAATGCGGCAGGTGATTCTTTCTAATACGAAGTACCCTCTCCTCAGATTTCACAGCAAGTTAAACCCAAGCTTTTCACACTATTATGCTGCATCATTTTGTGGAATGACTTCTAAATTAGGGATCAGCTGTATCTCAGTTCTAGAGAGATGTCTGAAGTAGGTTTGTTATTTGTATGCTTTTCAGAATATTTGAAAGACAACTCACTTTAAAGTGTGATTCTTTCATACACATTTTAAAGGAATATTCGCAGGTGTTACAATGTCAGTATGATTCCTGAAGTCACTACAATCAAATCTGTACAATTAAGTGCCCTTCTGTTCCTAAATAGGTGTGGCTGGCACTTGTACTCTGATAATTTAATTTTTAAAAGCCAGAATTTACCTGCAGTAAAAGACTATGATGTTTCAGAGGTCAATGTACATGAGTTAAAAACATCCTGTTCCAATAACAATGCTCCTTTTCCAAAGAAATCAATGACAGTAATGATGCTGTCTAAATGTTAGCTATGCATACAAGGAAGGAGCAAGCCATACAGATTAGTCATGTCACTCTGGAATTGAAAAAAAAACAAAAAAAAAAGAGGAAGAAATATTTGTCAACTGGAAAAGACGCAAAGCAAAAAAAGAAAGGAAATATAATTGTCAAGTATCCAGACTGATCTATAAAAAACATGAAAGTAAAAGCAGTGTTTTGTAACACATTGTGCATGTACATTTGCTTCCTCCAGATAGGTGGCCTGAAACAAGGTGTGAGCTATGTGTTTCGCGTGCGGGCAACAAACCAGGCTGGTGTTGGGAAACCATCAGATGTCACGGATCCTGTCGTAGCTGAAACACGACCAGGTTTGTTAGAAATACTTCCTCTTTTTCGTCATATTTAAACAGGTTCCTGTTTGTGCGATGTGTTTACATACAGGCTACATGCAAACAGTCTGACCTCTCTCAAGTCAAACTTTTTTTACTAAGCAGGAAATTAATCAAGAATATCTTACTTTCTTGTCCGGTATATTTTAAGGTCAGAACAGATTTTCTTACTATAAGTTCAGGAATATAAAAATAAAATAAAGTTGTAAGATTTGCATATATCGATAGATAGAGGCATAAGCAGAGGACTCACTACAATCAGCTCAACCAAAAAACGCTACAGATGTAGATTTTGCCCTTCCTATAGTAAACCACTTGTTTATGCTTTATCATTCTCCTTTCTTTAACTTATCTAATGTGCCTGAGGAAAGGGTAAAAGAAATTACTGTTTTCCCTCGGCCTTTAAAATAAAGACTTAAAAAAAGTAATGAAGTCAGTCTGGAGACCGCTTTCAGTAGCAATTCAAGTGCAACTGTGTGCTGGAGTCATCCTTGCAGGCTGGCTCCAGTGTGTCCATAATGCCAGCAAGAAACATGGGAACCAGGGCAGAGGCAGAATGTCCGTACCTGGAACTTCAGAAAACCCCTGAGTTTTATTTAGCTATACAGGTAACATAGGTAGCTTTGATTGGAGCCAACACCTTTTTGTCACTAAGTCCCTAACAGAAAACACAAGCATGGGCTTGTGGCTTACTCATCTATAGACTATTTTAGAAGAGGAAGGTCCTACAGGGTGGAAAAACAAACTCCCAGATATTTTAACCAAATCTAGTACGAGGTTAGTATGATGAAAGAAGGTACAGGGGTAGAACCCAGCCTGGACCCACCATACACCCTCTTTTCCTCTGACAAGTTCCCTTCCTCCACCTGCAGACTCTCGTATCTGATCCCACCTGGGAAGGTTTCCAAGAGCCCTAAAAGATCAGGGACAAAGGCAGGCAGCGGGCAGGCAGGAGAGCACGGGGGCCTGGGGCAGCCGGGCACAGGGAGCATGAGTCACAGTGCAGGGACATAGGCAACGGAGGTGACTACCTGGGCAAAGAGCTGCCTACACAGCCGGGTTGGTAGCTGCCCTGCCTGGAGAAATAGTCAGCGTTTATTTGGGATGGTATTGACTGTGAGGTGTTGAGCAGACATCACCGGCGATCATCAGTTCCCATTCCCAGCCAGGCTGCCTCAGGAGCATTTCCCCAGGATCCTTTCCCTGTTTCTGACTCCCAGGTCCATTTTTACATCGCTTATTCCTGCAGCAGCCCTGGCCCGGCTCTCATAAATGCCTGGTCCTTATGACAGGGGCAGCAAAAATCCTAAGAAGCCCTGAGTTAGCTCTCGGTGAGGCTGTAAGTCAAGCAGGTCTGAAAAAGGAGGTCTGAAGCTGGGGGTGTAAAAGAACTGGAAAACTCAGAGTGGGGAGTCTGGGGCGACTGCTGGTGAGGCTGGGATGGGAAGAAGAGACTGGAAGGAGTAGATGGTAAGTTGAGAGGGTGTAAGATTGGGATACGAGGACAAAAAAGGCTAAGTGTGTGAGTAAGAAGGGCTTGGGACAGGATCTTTCAAAAATACAGTAGCCATAATTTCAGATCAACAAGCCACTGAAGCACTAGGGCTATTTCCATCACCTGCAAGTGGAGTAAGGCAAAACTTAGAAACTTATTCTTGAAAACAGCTTATATACAGCAAACACTTCTAAAAAAGAGAATGAAACCAGTATTAGTACTAAACTTTCAATTTTACTAATCCATTTTCCTTGAGGGTTAATATCTCTCTGTCAGACTTTTGATAAAAACTTGTTATAATAACAATCTTCAGGGGTACTAAATAAAGGATTGGTCATGCCATTACAAAAAAACCCACAATGAACGTAAACTGTTGTGAAGATGATCGTAATGACAAAAAAAATTTGTGCAGCATTTTCAGTGTTCACTCAAATGAGGTGCATGCCCACCTGGCAATATGAACTTGAGCAGAACACTTGGTTCACAGACCTCACCGTCAGAGAAGGAGGTCATCTCAGGATCACGGCCTTTTTGCAAGCGAGGCTTGGGTTCATAGGTGTAATGTTTGGAGGATCACAGGAAAGTCAGAGTTTGGCCCAGTGAAATCTCAGGGAAGCTGAAAATTATTTACTTGTACAAATCTGGTTGACCCACATTTTGGGCTGACATCTGCAGATATGACATCCACCAAACTAAGCTTCTTAAAAGTGTTAAGAAAGGACAAAAGGCTTATTAAAAAAAATTGTTTCAGAAAGCAGTCTCTTGGGCAGGCTTCCACCATTCTCACTCAAACCACACAAATTTCAAGAACAATCATACCATTTTTTAAAAATTACCACAAGTCTTTTGGTGTTGCCCAATGAATGCTGCCTTTATGACCATCTTGGATGGAGACAAAATATTTTCAGGTCTCTCTAGACAACCTGCTGGAATGTTGCTTTTGGCAAATGTGTAAAATTGCAAGACGACTGAGCTTTCTAATCAAAGAGTAAGTAAACAATATCCTGAACAAAAATATTTGCTTTAATATGAATGGTACCAATTGTCTTTATCCAGTGAAATGTGTAAATATAATGATGTAATACTTTGCATCCACCTTCTCTTATTTGAAAACCATGTTTAATTTTTACAGTTATCTTCTAAAATTAAATGAAAAAACCCACCCCCATAAGCAAATACCAACCCAGGCTACTTTTGAGCTGTAACTTTGTCTTTAGACAAAAGCACTTTGGTGCGTGGGGATCCCACAGGAAGCAGGGGAAATCCAAGAGCAGACAGCAGCTCCTCCCATTGCTGCCCTTAGTCCTTGTGCATCTTGGTGCAAAACAAAATTAGATTCTGATCCTGCATCAGTCACTTGAGAAGGGCTTGAACCTCAGAAATTAATGAAACCCTGTCCCATTCAACTTTCCTGACTAGCTGTATTCAAAATGATGCCATTAACCCTAGTGTTTTGAAGCTGTCTGCTTTATCTTCCTATTATCTCTTTCAATGCAATACAAACCTCAGATAAATGGAAATTTGATATGACATCTAAGCATTTTATTTCTTATGATGACTTTAAGAGAAGCTCCGGATGATATGTTGAAACCACCTAGCTGTCTAGAGGAGGGAAATGAAGACTGCTACTAGTATGGCAGACTCTTTGGTTCTGCTTTGTAGCATAGGTGGAGATCTCTGATCAGTAATTTTAAAAGATTTTTCTTTTTCACTCATATAAATATTAGAGGTAAATGCCATCATTACATCTGGAAATAAATGCTATGCATTGTTATCATAATGAGAATACTTTAAAACAAATATAAAAGATTCTGTCCTTAAAATGAACCTTCTGACTGTAATTCTTTGCACATTGCATAAACTGCCATCAAAAGATCCATGTGCTAATGATCTACAGGAAACTAAACACTAATGAAATGTCAAGTGATGAATTTGCATATAAGAAATTAAATTATAAAAAAATTGCAAATATCATGCTGCCTAGTAAAATATTTGTAGCTCTTAGACTTCACTTATCATATATTGGTACTTAATGTGCTTCATTACTGTGTAATGGTAAATAACAGTACCAAAATGGGAATATTAATCTCATCTTTCATGAAATGGTTATGGTGAATTATAAAGACTAAGAAAGCTGCGTGTAGACAAATTGTCATTACAGGAGCTACTCACAGTGCTGGAAAGGACGTGTATAGTATTAGGATGATGAAACACAGAAATCTCCTTGTATGCCTGAGGCTCATTAAGAATTATGCTGGAAGTAAAGCATTTAATCTCAATGTCAGGAATAAGGCTCTTGTCTTTAAGGTACAGTACTTTGTGGACAAAGTGTGTCATTAGCATTCTGGGCAGCCCAGAATTGTCTTAGGCTAAGTAATAGGAGTGCCCTGTTCAGATGCCAGATCCAGCTCAGAGCTGTTCGGCAAAGGAGGCTGGATGTTCTCCAGCACCTCTCCCCGCACATGCTCTCCCTGACATTCTCAGACAAGTTGTTGAAATGAAAATGAATGCCGCAGATGACAAGCTCGCCGAGCCACCCGAGTCCCACACAAAATTCCCTCAGCTTCACCAGGGTGCGAGAGAGCAAGATAAAGGTGCCTTGGGGTTTCTGATCTCGGATTCACCCCCGGGGCCTTTTAAAGGACAAACTGGGTCACCTTATCCAGCTCAAGGGCTGTAGGTACTGGCAAAACAGGGTGCTAAGCAGCTAATTGCAAATATTCACTCCCTTTGTGGGCCCAGGATTAATGCTGCAGACGATGGCAGGGCTGGATGCCAAGCACAGCAATTAAACCAACCTCCCGGAGTGAAGCCAGTGTCACTGAAAATGTGCCTCAGTTGCACAAGCATGCGCTCCTGGGGCAACCTGATCGTTTCCTCTTCTGCCTCCTGCACCTCTTCAAACTCCCACATTTGCACACGGTAGTCCCTTTAGACCTCTTATCTTATTAGCGAATAAGAAATTCACCTTGCATAATTAAGGCTCTGACTACCCCTTACTGTGGAAAATATTGCTATTTAATATTTCAAACATTTAGTGGATTTAAAGGCTTGCTTGCTTTTTTCCCCTTCGGGTTTTTCCAGAGCAAATATCATAACTCTCATGTGTGCTTAGACTTTCTTAAATAAATCAGTTGCTTTATGATGCTCTTTAATCTGTGGATTAGAGTAAGAACTGTTCTTGTGAATCAAAGACCAAGGAAGCCCATGTTTGTAGCAATTTATGTGCCAACTGAGAAATTGGCAAGGATCTGCTTGATCTACTCTGTGAACGATATCTATATAAATTTGTTTGCTGGCTTCTCTGAGAAAGTGGAATTGTCTTGTTCTGTTCTTTCAGGAACCAAAGAAGTGGTGGTTGATGTAGACGACAATGGAGTCATTTCCTTGAACTTTGAATGTGATCAGATGTCTCCAAACTCTAAGTTTGTTTGGTCCAAGGATTACGAACCAATTGAGGATGACTCTCGGCTGAGCATCGATACCAAAGGTGGAAAGTAAGAACCCTCGACGGTAGCAATAGTCTCACGTTTGATAGATCTAGACTGGTCACAGAAATCCATCCTTTTGGACCTCAGTAAGAAGTTACATCTGCCTGTGTTACTGGAAGGCTACTTCATGAGTGTGCTGTTCTCCAGCGAGTCCATACGGAGACCATTTGGAAATTGTAGCTCGCACAGAATGAGTCAGGACTCTTGTTCAGGCAATTTAGTTATGTTTGGGCATAAGGAGAGAAAATTGGTGCTCTGTCATCTTAGAACCTGTCAATCAAGGCAAATTATTATTATTCCTATTGTTATTTTAAATCTCCAAAGGATAAAATTATCTGGCTGCTTGCAAAATGCTTTTGCTGTGTAACACTGCTGCAATCTTTGGAGGTGCTGGAGTAAGCAGGACTCTTCTGATGGCATCACCATGGCCTGTTTTGGTAACTTCTCTAATGCTCTACAAGCCTACTCTGTTTTTTCAGTCTTTTAACAGAGAGGAAGAAGTGGCAAACACACAGGTTCAGCCCATGAAGTGCCTGTGACCTCTTCTAGTTATAGAAACCATATAGAAAGAAATGATGGCTCACCACACTCATGGTATTGCATGTGAAAATTGAATCAGCCTGTACTTACAGGCTTATCCTTCCATGCTCACCAAAGACTTGATAACAAGTTTTTAAGCATGCTTGAGCTAGGTTAAACTAGCTATCTCCAGTGCTTTTGGCACTATCTGAGAGTTATGCCACCTCCATTTGTACCACATATGGTAGGACCTACCCTGGTTTATACTGGCCAGAGCCCCGCATTTGCCTGTTCAGTCAGAGTGAAAGATAATACAAGACTATTTTTATCTGGTGTTAGAGACATAAAGGAGGGGTTTGGTTCAGACTGATCTTATCTTTTTATCAAAATGCTTTTTTTTCCCTAAAGGTCAAAAGCTACCTTTAAGGATCTTGGAGAAGATGATTTGGGAGTTTACTCTTGTGTTGTTACAGACACTGATGGAGTTTCATCAAGCTACACAATTGATGAGGAAGGTAGACACCATGTCTATTATGCATGCCTGTTTTGCTTTCACATCTGTTTTTCCCTGCTGCTGTGTCTCAGATCCACAAGGCATGCACACCGTATATTATTTCTTTTATGTCTTTTGCAGAAATGAAACGCCTGCTTGCTCTGAGCCACGAACGCAAATTCCCAAGTAAGTGAATCAAACATGTCTGTAGGGGAGAGTTTTGCATGCAGTGGGGCATCACAAAGCTCCTGCCACCGTCAGGTAGGGAAGTCACTATAGTAATTTCAAGTGAAAGAGGCTTTGAATTGAAAATCTAAGATTCCTTTATTTTTTTCTCTTTCTTTCAGTACATTTGTGTATTACTGATTTTCTTCCCAGTCTGTTGCAGGCTACTGGTCTAGGCATACAATCAGTCTATATTACATTTGGAAAATAAATATCCCATTGGCTTTGTTTCTTCTGCAGAACAGCCTTTTATATTTACTCAGCATGCCTACCCCGATTTGAAAACCAGAATTTGAAAAATTCTCTAACTGTACTACAACTGAAGGTAACACAAGTTAAAGATGAACCAAGCAGGCAACTGTAGTAAATTCAGCTGTAATGATTTATATACACAGAATTTTTCTGGAGAAATTCATTCCCGCCCTCTTTCCTGTAGCAGTTGACAATATGAACATCCTTCCTGCTGCTTGGGATGGTATTTTTGTCAGCTCTGCAGACCTCCCATACCATACCTGGTAGTAGCACAACTTGGTTATTTTCACTGGAATGTAACTTGAATAATTGGGAAAAAAAGTAATATTGGATTGTGTAATGAATCATATTACACACAGCAAGGCAAGAGCTAAACCTGGTCTCATCTTCTCCCACTACATTCTCCTCTTTTTTCATTCCAGGCGCTAAAACTCTTGCCTATGTTTTAACATCTTCAGCGTTGTGCATGTACTGCCGGCACCTCTGCCAACTCAGCCCACACTGCACCCCTCAGCCCAGCCAAAACTTGGCTGCAGAAATGGCCTTTCTTTTTGCCCACATCATCTCTCTTTCTCATTTCCTTCTCTGTCTTTTCCATATCAGCTGTACTCTTCTCAACATATTGTATCACCTCTTGACAGCTTAATGACAGCTCAAGCATCCCCTTGTTTACTCCTGCTCCTCCCAGTACTTTCCTCCTAATTATATCTTCATGCTGAAAGTTAGTCATCATAAAACCTTACTGCTGTCATGTGTCCTTACTTGCCCTGACCCTTCTCTTCTAAGGGCTCTTCCATGCTCTGTGTTCATCACTAATGGCACAAAATTAGCTCCTCAGGACACAGATCGTGCCTTCTTTTTTGCATTGTATTAGGTAACAGTGCACTTCTCATAGTTGTGCATGAGCTTCCAGGAGGCACAGGCAAAAAGGGAGAGCACTGCAGAACGTATCCTTAAGGAGGAAACTGTCTTACTTGCTTTGGCCACTCTAGGCCCCGTGGACACTAAAAAAAATAATATTACAAATAGGCACTGAGATTCATCTGGCTGTGCCTGTGAGGTTAGAAAAATAATAACGAGCTCCTCTGGATCAATATGAAACTTCAGTCTTATCTCCAGATAATCTGTTTGATGATTACCCAAATTCTTAAAAAAAAAAATTAGTTGCTAAGCATTTCTGATTCAACATGAGCTTTTCCATGTTGCTTTGTACTTCTGAACTGCACTTAATTGTAACTTCTGCTTAGAAACATCTGCAGCCAGTAACTCCATGGGAAAATGGGTTGCTTGAATAATGCAGCCGTACAGAACTCAACTACGTATGGGTGCGATAGTGGGTTGGTGCTAGGCAAAAATAAATTGTTCCAGCTCTTCAATTTAGCAGCTGCCCGAGGACTCCCTGTCAAGTGCTCGCAGTAATTTGTGGTGCTATACAAATAGGATGTAAAACCTCGTAAGCACAACGGCTGGAAAATGCCTGAAGTAGTTGTCACTTGGTGCTTATGGAAATATTTTAAAGTAAGGCTTTTGCTGATGGAGGACCGTAATGCAGATTCGTCCAGTTCCTTTGGGCTGAGGAGTGAACGGCCTTTTCTCAAAAAAGAATCCTGTTGCATCCTTGCAGCCCTTTATTTAACAGCTTCTGAGATACTTTCCTCTCTTCCACGTTAGAGTAAGATATTCATAGTTAATTACATGCAAATCAAGTGGGGGGTTTGAAATTGCCATAGCGCTGACAGTGAGACAAAAGCAGCGCAGCCTGATGTCTATTCACACCCTCTCCCTCTTGCTTCCACTGGCTCCTGCAGCATTTCGGTCGCTTTGTTTTGAGAAATTATGCAAGACCTGAGATTCCTTCTGTTTCTTACAAGCAAAGCGCTGTGCTGGGTGAGGAAGCTTCAGGCAGACGATTTGCACTGCTGGGGCACGCTCCTACGGGGTTGTTCTTTGCCCTGCTCCCGCCTGGTAATGCTGTCCCTCCAGGCTTTCCTCTCTCTGGTTAAGCCTGTGTCTTTCTCATAATTCTCTTTTCTTCCCCGTGACTGGTGCCTCACCTCCCAGAAGCCTTATTTTCACCAGAGACAGGTGCTGTGCCACTCGGGCACCAAAAGCATACACATGGGTGTGGGAGGATGTAGGTATGGGGAAGGGGTGAGCATGGGGGGGTCCTCGCCCCTAAGGCACCTGAGTCATTTAGGATGGTGTAAAGATGAGAAAAATTAAGCACTACCTTGATGCCAGTCCTCTCCTGCTGTAGCTGGGCCTTTGCGTACACGAACCTAAAGAAACAACTCTGCCTTGGGGTTTGTCTGGGAGGAGATCTGTCTTTACGCTATCACCAGACCACACCATCACACATTTTGCAATGTGTTTGTACACCGTCCTCAGCTGTTCTGTGTTACACTCTAGCAATGCAGACTTTACACTGCTGTGGAATTGGAGGTTGGCGGAGAGTTCACATACAGCATACGTACTCCCCAGAGTATGACTTTTGTTGAGAATCTGAGCGGCCACTCAGACAGCTGAAAATGATGGAAACCAATAAAATGAGCAACATGCTCCAATATCAGAGTCTAAATGCTCATGTTTAATGTTGCTGATTAAGAAATCATAACAAAAAGTTAGTGAAAGCAAGCTGAGGGCTTTTACTAACAAGAACAAGGGAAAATGAAAAGATTAAAAGACTAAAATAAACTACGGGTTAGGTCCCTTTACATGATTTTTTTTCCTGCTAACACAAGGGATTGGTCTATATTTGGGGGATTTCCATTATTCATAGGTAAACAAAATGTACTGGGGAGACTGAGGGGGTGTTGTGATACTTGGTGAATTCTGGAGATGGAGGTTGCTCTCAGCAAAGGATCAGAGTGCTTACAAAAATCTCCCAACCTGCAGCTCAGCAGCTGACTTTTTGATCTGGCTTCGTGCTTGGGGTTTTTTTGTTTGTTGGTTTGGTTTTTTTTTTCCGCTGAGTCAGTTCACTTGTCTTACAGTAATATTGTTAGGCAACTCATTAAACATGGGTCTGCGCCATACAGACTCACATCATGCTGCAGAGATACTGGCAGTTTACCTTTGAAATAGCCTTGTATTAGAACGGAGCGTAACTCAAATCCAGAACACTTCCAGTTTGTACAGACCTAGTGATTGAAGGATCAAAAGATTAAATCTTGTCTGTCATCCTATGTATATGTGGGTGGAGAGGCATTCTGTCTATATTAAGAACTATCATAAGCTAGTTACCTTGTATACAGTATCCGAGTATGAAAGGAAGAAGTGGCTTTCTGATTATAGAATAAAATAGTTGTTGAGGCACAGGCAAAGTATATGCTTCATTCTTTTCTTTCTTCTTTGTAGCTGTCCCACTTGTCTCTGAGTTGGCAGTGGAAATTTTGGAAAAAGGAGAAGTGAGATTCTGGTTGCAAGCAGAAAAACTGTCTGGCAATGCAAAGGCCAACTTTGTATTTAATGATAAGGAGATTTTCAACGGAGAGGTAAGCCTTTCCATTGCTTACATGCGTTTGCATTTTTATGAGTGTCAATGAGTATTAATGTCTCTGTCTCCAATATACTCCCAACTCGTGCTCCACAGTAGTGCATTTTCATGCGAAATAACATATGTCATTGGAAGCACCATTAGAAAGATTTTGTCTGTAGTTCTGAGCTTCAGACAAATTCTACTGGATGTGGTTTATCAAGTGGAGTTCAATGACTTCCTGCCGCCTCTGTGAGTCCCGCGTGTTCTCTTAACTAGTGGGGACCACAGCAGTCCCGGCAATAAGGTAGTCCCAGGTAAGCAGCTACTGTGGTCTTCAAGGAGTCATGGCAGTAGCCCAGATTCATCCGATCTCCTTCATCTACGGCCCTAGCATACCCTTGTGCTCAGCCCTCACCTCTCTTTGCTGTTTGGAGGAATTTATTACAGCAAGGGAAAATTCCCAAGTGGTTGTTTCCAGCAGCAGAACTTGTTAATCCCAAAGACATGGCATGGCATGCTTTTGTTGTAACACTGATACTGGGTGGAAGGCAAGGATGGAGCATTCTGCACAAAACCTTATAAAAATACAATCATCGTCAAAGAAACTGTTATTCTGAAGAGATGCAAATCCAAACCTTTCTAATGAAAAAGAAGACAGTACTCACCATACAACAGGCATGTCACATGCTTGTATAGCATCAGTTAATAGGCTTCACCTTTAACAGATTTCCTATTTATTTGGTTATATGTTTAGGGCTGGAGCTAAAGATAGTGGGAATCTGAATAAAGAAAACAGAATTTCACGTAAAGATACCATATAATATTTGACAAATATTTTCTGACTCTGATATCCATTAATTGTTGCTTTACTTTCTATTCCTGAAGAAATATAAAATGAAGGTGGACCAGAAGACCGGCCTTGTTGAAATGATTATGGATAAACTTGAGGACAAGGATGAAGGGACTTACACTTTCCAACTGCAGGATGGAAAAGCAACCAATCAATCCAGCCTTGTCCTCATTGGTGATGGTAAGCTAACGGCAATCTATATTACGCAGTAGGCTGGAAAATTATACTGAGGTTACCTCAGTTGTCATCTTCACTTTCTACTGTTTCCAACACCAACAGAAGCTCCAGTGGTTCTTCATGTCACAGTGCCTGCCCACCTCATATAGGACAGGGCATATATGTCAACTGAAATTTTTAAAGTGCCGGGAGGAAGGGGAATCGTTACAGAAATGTAAAATGTGATGGCCTGTCATGGTTTGCTTTTCTATGGATGGAATGAAAATTTCCCACGTAAAAAGCCCATTTGGCCGGGAACAAGTAGCTGTGCCTCTTCGAGCTCCAGCAGCTTGCTGACTCTGCTGCCATTCGTTTGCCTTCCTACCCAGAGTGCAACGTAGCTGTGTGATTGGGGATTGCACTTCATCAAACGTGACACATTAAATTCCTGATGACTACAAGCAGCTAGGAAAGTTGGGTTAGCCCTAATCAGCTTCTGACACTTGGAAATGTTCAGTGAAAACCTGACCCTATGGCAGGATTCTCATTGACTGCGAAGGGACAGAGCTGCACCTGACTGTTACAGTGACATTCAGTATCGTACAAATGGCACACGGTGTTTAACCTTGTATTTCTTGCTGGTTTTAATTCCTAGTATTCAAGAAGCTGCAGGATGAAGCAGATTTCCAGAGAAAAGAGTGGCACAGGAAACAAGGTGATAATATGGATATTTATAAGAATCACATATGTGTTAGTCTGTGAAGAGTTTGTTTATATTTATATATGTTAATTTGAAATAGATGGGTTTTGTTCTGGGATGTGGCTGCTTACCTTCTGAAGGAGAAATAGGAAAAATAAAACCACATTAAAATATAACGGTATTCTTGTCAAGAAAACCACATTTATTTGTCTTTGCTTTTGTATCATGAATATCATTGATGTGACCCTTAATGTATCTGTCATTTTAAACAGGTCCTCATTTTGTGGATAAACTGGGATGGGAAGTTACCGATGACTGTAACGTGATGTTGAAATGTAAGGTAAGGGCAAGGAGAGCATTGAGTACAATGTTCAAAGCACTTTGACCTACCACTACTTTGACGGTGAGGGTGGGAAGGGACTAAGGACATGCCCTTTGCTTTTGTACTCCCAACTGCATATTGGATAGCGACCGAGCCTCTGAAGGCTAATCACGCTGGGGCGACTGCTTGTTGCCTGTAACAAAACACCTTGGAAAATAGCTTGAACTTTTTTCTTCAGGTCTGTCAGCCACCTACCCAGGAAAAGGCACACCTGAATAGGAATGACAAATCTTTGTAAATCCTGGGACTTTCTCATTTTTGGCTGGTTTATCTGTGCAGAAATCCCCTGGGCAGGATCCACTGGTTCCCTGGGCTCCTTGAAGCTGTTGGCAGTCCTTTTCTCTCTCTTTTCATCCCTGCTATTTTCCTTCTTGCATCCCTCATTTTAAAACAGAGGCCTGCAATAACTCGCTGCAATTAAGTTGTGAAGCTTGCTGTTCTTTTACGAGAGACTCAAACAGGCTAACCCATGTGACACTAAGTTCCCCTGCTCAAATGAAGAGAATAATTACGATGTGGTTTTCATCCATCTTAGGTGGCTAATATTAAGAAGGAAACACACATTGTGTGGTACAAAGATGACAGGGAGATAATGGTAGATGAAGAACATGACTTTAAAGATGGCGTGTGCACTCTGCTGATATCAGAGGTGAGTGACTGTCCTCGTTAGCCCTCAACTGAAGTTAGTGGTATGAATCCAGGTGAATGATATGATCTAATCTGATATTTCAGTAGAACAATCAAAAAAGGAAGTGGGTTTTAAAAATGGAAAAACTCAAAAGGCGTCTGTGTTTTAGCTAAAGCAAACGTCTATCTATAACTGCTTGTTCAGATTTTCAGGAAATGATGACAGAAGAGATAAGAAGCTTGTCTCTTCCTTTGCACGCCAGTTTAGCAACAGAATGAAACCATATTTATGTTTCAGACGGCATTCGGAAAGCGCTTGTCGCTCAGGCTGTGGGAGGACCACCCTCTCGGAGTCACCAGAGAGGTCTGGCCCGTACCCAGCCTTGCTGCAGACTTGGGGGGGTCACCTGCAGTCACCACTTCATCTCTTTGTTCTCGGTTCTTTGGCTGAGGAAGGGGAGAAGTGTCAGGGCCCCCAGGGGCTCCCCCACGGCTGTAGACCCCCCCAACCAAGGCCCATCCCATTGTCCCAGCCAGGAGCGGGGCAGCCAGGGGGCACCAGGGCAGCCCCAGCCCCAGGCATCGGGCACCTCCCTGGGGACGGGACATCAGCTGGTTTCAGGAGCAAAATCTACATTTTTCTATAGTAACTGTTCTGAAAACTGGTTTTACTGTTACCATATTGCAGTTTTCTAAGAAAGATGCAGGCACGTACGAAGTCATACTGAAGGACGACAGAGGGAAGGACTCCAGTGAGCTGAAGCTGAAAGACACAGGTCAGAGCCACTTTCTGCACGCTGTCAGCCACACCAGCTGACGGCCTGGCTGCTCGCCAGCAAGCGGCTTCGGGGTAATGCAGGAAACTGCATGTGTCACCCTCCTGTGGCTTTGTTCCTCCCATATACAAGATCATCTCGTTAGAAAAACTGAAATTTTTCAGTTCAAATAATGTTTGAATACAGCTTATTGCATCTGGATTCTGTATAATTTGGGGAGAATGTGATGACTAACACTAAGCAAAATGATAACAGGTTTCCTCAGGGTGCCATCAGTACTGTAAGCCTACAAGTATAGAAAGAAATCATAGAACTAGATGATTTTAAAAGATTTCACATTTTTATTATGTTTTGCCATTCATTTATTTAGGGGCCTTTCCATTCATTGTGATTACTGTATTTTTAAAATTTCACTTATGTTTCCAAGCAAGTAGAGAAAAACCCTATCCATTAGAATGTATACAGATGGGTTAGCATTCCAACCAAATAGTGGCATTTACAAAAAAAAAAAAAAAAAAAGAGATACAGTTTTGTTCAGCTGCAGCACTATTCGTCAGGGCTGCAGTTAAAATAAGTCTGGAAATCATGGAATAACAGGCTGTATTTCTGCATTACTTGGATTTCTAATATGCTTTATAAGGTAGGTCTGATTTCTTTTTCAAACCTACTGGGGAGAATATTTTAGAGCCAGTACTTGTCCTGTTATTGACTGTGCTTGAGCTGCAAACACAGAGTCTTAGTCTCTGGATTTTATTTCCACAGCTTTTGCAGATCTGATGAATGAAGTATGCAGAAGGATTGGTAAGCACTTAATTCTCTTTTCGAATGAATGACTCATTGTGACACTCAATGAATGGCTGCACGGCCGCACAAAACCATGTGCTCTTCTTTCAGCTTTATCTGCGACAGACCTGAAAATCCAGAGCACAGCTGAGGGTATCAGACTGTACTCCTATGTTACTTATTATGTGGAAGATCTGAGAGTAGGCTGGGTGCACAAGTAAGTACGCGAAAGCTTTGCAAAAGTCAGTGCAATTTTGGTTTTATAGACTCAGAAGGAACCTGGATGTATGAGAGAGATGAGGCTCGGGTTTCTTCTTATCTCTCACGAGTCCTTCTCTCACATGAGTTAGTTTCAGTGAATTATATCCACATGAAACCAGTGCAAGAGTCAGGTGTTGGTGATGCAGGGCCCTCCTGTCATTTCCCTGGTGAAACAGACAGTCCCATGCCACGGGGTGCTCTCAGGGCCGTGTTGCTTCAGAGAGCTTCCCACCTCCTGGATGGAAGCTGCATATTTCCCTGAATCAGTTTTAAGGAGCGATGTAAATATAACCTGAGAGACCAACAAGCTTTAAAAGAGAGAACCATGGGTTCAGAGATACCGAGCCTGGAGGTCTGCTTCTCTAGAAGCCACAATTCACGGGAACTGGGACAAGGGGGCACATCCTCTTAACGCATGGCTTCATGTTTAGGAGGTAAAGCAAGTTCCAGTGTATGCCCGGGGCAGTAAAATCCAGACAGCCCCTCCTGTGAGCACTACGAACCTAACCAAGACAGACAGAAGAACTGAGGTTTTTAAAAAGAATTTGAATGCCCAGCTCCCCATAAAATTAATGGGAGTTGCATATCCAAATCCATGAGAGCTTTGAATTCTCAGCCAGCACAAACAGCACTGCACTCAAAAACCCAGGGAAGCAAACTTAAGATTGCTTCAAATCTATTATTACTATTCTTGCTGTTTCACTTGCTGTGGACATGGTAGTAGTTAGTCTTTAGGATGGAATCTGAATTACTGATCTCTCAATAAAACTCATGTAAATGAGGCACAGAATACCCAGGATGGGCTGTAGCAGTCTGGCTGTAATTATTAACACTGATGCTAACCAGCAGCCCTGGCAGAGAAATGAAAGCAGCCTGAGGTTTTCCTGTTTCTTTGCACCCATTTTGACCTGGTATTACCAGGATTCCTAAGTATTTCCAAACTGTAAGTGAATATGAATATTATGGGTTCCCCCCCCCCCTTAAATCTCTTTCTCTCTTTTCTCTGTTTAATTTTTATAAACTAGTTTCATCTTGAAGCACATCAAATCAGTATAGAAAAAATGTTCTTTGTCCCTCCAGTATATTTGAAGTTACCAGTTTTAAAGATAAAAAGAAAATGAGTAGCTTATTTAATTAATATCTTTTGCCTCATCCAGGGCAATTAACTGCTTAGCTAGGAAGCTGCAAAATTGATATTTTTTTTGTGGAAGAAGACATAGTTATGTCAAAGTATGTTTAATTGTAAACGCCAAAGCACAACAGAGCATCAGAAAACATTCCAACTTGTGACAGAAGTGTGGGGTTTTTGTAGGTACAGCCCTGTAGAGTTTTGTTTTGCCCAAGCAGAAATAAACCTATGCTAAAAAGAGAACGTAAACATTTGAGGATGCATGGATTATCCTTCAGAGATCTAGCTTGTAAATTTGTGTAACTTTTCTATGGCTCATGTCACAAAGATGCGTAATCTTTCTGTAAGCTTTAAGGAGAGCTAGACCTTGAACAAGGAAGACTGTCATACCAATTCTGCCCAGCTGGCCCACAGCTTTAGCAAGAATTTGACTTCAAAAATTTCAAAATATGGTGGCATACCAGAGCACCTTGGAAGTCGCTTAGTAACTGCAGATGTACTCAGTGACTCAACATGAGCAAATCCCATTTATACTCCAGTAAAACGAAAGGGTAACACTGTTTTGTATTGTTCAGCGATACCCAGATTAGGTTTACAGACCGAGTGAAGACTGGTATCACTGGGGAGCAGATCTGGTTGCAGATCAATGAGCCGACTCCACAGGACAAAGGCAAATACACAATGGAACTCTTTGATGGAAAAACAGGACACAAAAAGACAGTGGATCTTTCTGGACAAGGTAGGCCATTCCCTCTGCTAACGTCATCTGTACGTGGGCATCACACTGTGCTAGGGTAGGGGCATCTACAGCCGGGTCTTGCTCCAGAGCTGTCACCCTCTGGGCCGTGGGCTCTGAGTGTGCACCCAGCAGCCCGGCAGTGCTTGTGAGGGCAGGGCAATTTGCTTTCCCCAACCTGTGCTCTCGGGTCGTAAGTGATGAACGGCTTTTTCCTGTTCCAAATACCCGCTTACAGTTTGCCGACTGAGACGTCAACCCAGTTTCTGAGCTATCTTACAAAACCCCTTGTGTTGCTGGCATTGATTGGCAGTTTTAAATACAAGTTGTAGCACTGAATGCCTTCTGTATCTCTCCCTTCCAAGTAATATTTGGAGGAGGAAGTGAGGGACAAGTTTGTTCTGGTACTTGCCTGCTGTATTTCTTTGATGGATATAATAGGGCTCCTTATTCTTCAGAGATATCAAGACCTTTCAACAGCACAATCAAGGACTGTTAGGGGAACAGCTAAAATTATTTGGATTGACTGTTGAAAGCTTTTACTCCGAGAGACCTCTCAGATCCTAGGAAACAGATTAACTCCTTCCCAACTGCTGAGTTCCCATCCCCAGCCATTCCCATCCCTAAAGCTTCACTTTGGGCCTGCAAGCTCTGTGTAAGGGCAATAACCTTATAATCATCTCCATGTTGCTCCTTCTATACTCTGTCTCCGCTTTCTGAGAAAAGACGTTTCTTGCCTTTCACAGCGGGAGAGGCTGACCTCCCACATGGTGGTAGCTTAGCCTGAATGTACAAAGGAGACAACAGTTTGCTGTTTGGTTTGTTAATGGCCACCAGTGTGATGCTTCAGAGCAGATGTGAAAAGCACTTGGAAAAAAACAGATCTCTTGTATTCCATAAGCCAGTGGTCTCCAAAGTGGGGTGTGTGCAAGATGATCTGCTGGGGTGTGGGAAGAAAATATGAGAACTTCAGTAGTACATCTACATAATTTATAAATAAATATAGATATATTGAGGGTGTGTGCTCAAAAAAATTTTTGATAGGGGTGTATGACCAAAAAAATTTGGGAGACCACTGCCATAAGCTATCATTTTGGCGGTGTATTGTGGGTTTCTTCCTCTGTTTTGTGAAATTATTTCAGCCTATTGCTCTCCGCTCTCTCTTTGTCTTAAAGCCTGACTTTTAGAAGAAAAAAAAAGTGTGTTTATGCATTCATATGTATATATAAGAGCTGCCTTTATTAGTTGAACCATTCAGCATTTTAGGGTTTATACAGTATACATGCATCCATCCATTAATAGTTCTTTAATGATAGCGACATTTAAAATTTCTTTTTACATTTTTAATTTAAACTTGTGATGATTTGTCTCTGAACCCATCTTTAAAATCAACTTTTCTCTTTACAAAGCATTTGATCAAGCCTTTGCTGAGTTCCAGAGATTAAAGTAAGTATTATACCATCTATGGTATGGCAGTCATAAAATAATAGCAGTATTTGTTTGTTTTGTGCTGGAGCTAACTATATCCTATGAAACAAATCCTAGTCCTACAGAAGCCCGTAGGAGTTTTGCATGTGACTTCTTTGGTGTAACTCTTATATAACAGTCAGGTAACGAAGAAAAAGCAGTATTGCCAAACGATGAGAGAGGTTTTCCTTAACGGATTAAAGGCAGTTAAAAAGATAAGCTATTTTTCCATCACTCTAAGTAAACCCTAACTGAAATTGGACTTTCTTTTTGTTTCTTTCAACTCCAGGCAAGCTGCGATTGCAGAGAAAAGTAAGTAGGCCTTCTTTGACAATGGTTGCAATAAACTGGTTATGAAGGTTTTCTTCCTCTGCACGAAGGTTGTGTGTTGGGAAAGAGAGGGCATGTATACATGTGTATGTGCATGTGCTCATCCTAAAATGAGTTTGTCCTTACCCCAAGGAAAAGCAAGGAGAGTGACCTTTTAGCGATTTAACTTTGGTGCACATTGCAGCTAACCACATTATAGTTATGGGCAATGTTGATTTTTCCCATCTAAGCTCCTGTTTTCATCACCAGTTAGCCTTCTCTAAAAATTAGCTTTATTGCTGAGATCTCTCATGCACGTTCTCTGCACAAAAGTCACTTTGTTTTCAAAGATGGAGGAGATCACTTGGCTAGTTTTTAACTATCTCAAATGTCAAATGACTCTGTATTACATACAGAAAGGGGTAAGAAAGCAACTGTAGCTTTTGCATGGCTTAAAGACAGATCCTTGAATCTCCTCATACTTTTGCCTGTGTGTCAATTCCAACGTAGCAACTAAAACAAAGTATGTATTAATTACTTAGGGAATAAGTCATTAGAATTCGACTTGAATTATTAAGCTCAATAGTCTCCCTATTTAGAGAGAAATGCATGGAAAAAAATGTAACACATCAAAAAATTCTCCCACTGCAGATGACTTTCAGACCTGTATAACAATGAGGGCAAAACTGACATTTGAAAAGTTATTGGAGAAAAATGTGTAGAGAGGTCTGCGCTAACTCCTCCTGAACATATACTCCAAATAGAGTGGGGCTTGGATCTGTACAGTGATCCCTACATGTCCCAGCTGAGACAGCGCAAAGAGACCGGTAACAGCCCTGCCCTGGGCATTTCATTTCTAACCCTGGACCACTCGTAAGCAGCTGGCACGTTAATTGACACAACACAGTCCTGTTCCTGGTCTCATAAGGTTGTTATCTCTGTGCTCCAGAGCACGTCTTGGACAGAACACATCAGAGGGGAACATTCTGTAGTCACTTCCTTCCTCTGCCAGGCTCCACCAAGACGTATAATGAACAAAATCCATATTCCAGACTAAGTGCACCAAAGGCTGCATGTGATCAGCTTATTTGTATTTGCGTGCGATTCCTATGGGACTCTGAGCTTAAAACTGGATCAGGTATCGATCTCATTTACACCCAGATACATACAAAGCAGTGGAAATTCACTGTTGTCACTGAAACTGAAGTCTGTCTTTGTATTTAGATTAAAACCTAATCTCCACCACTTCATTAGGTGTCATTCATTTCCTTTTGGAAACCCAATGTTTTTAGTTTACGACACTAAAAATGTAGAGCACCAGATGTCAAAAATTCAGTTTGTTTTTTGTTATGCACTCAGAAGTAATACTGAATTGATGGCAAAATCTGCAGGACACAGCACATGTACTTTAATTCCCCTCAGTAAGTGATTGACACCAGCTATTAACACATCTTTTGCTGTGAATTCAACGGTTTTTAAAGTCCAAATGGTGTGCTAAGAATGCTGAATAGTTCTCTGCTAGCGCAGACGTGAGACACAAGTTGTACATAAATAAGAGAAAAGGAAAGAACTAGAGGGAAACAGAATCTGGGACACAGTTGATTTTGAGACACTAAAGGAAATTATGCTTATTTATTTCCAGATCGTGCACGGGTTCTTGGAGGTTTGCCCGATGTTGTCACCATCCAGGAGGGCAAGGTACAGTAAATTAACTGGAGCTTTACACAACAGCCCAACAGTTTGAATGCTTTTCAGTGATGGGAAAATATTCACCTATTTTTTTTAAGATGCCATCTTTAAAATCTGCTACATTATTTATTCATCCCCTGCCTCCTGTACATAACTCAACGGTCTTGCACAGATGGATTTATGTATTCAGGGCAGTGCCTTTTCTTAAGCATTAGATAAAAGTGAGATGACAATGTGAGTTGAGACTAAAACTCCTTATATAACCAGCTCTTTAAAAATTCATGCACAGGTTTCACAGTTAGATTTTTTGGTAAGAGGGTATCAGGGAAGTTTAATTCCTTTTTTACAAGACAGCTAGTCATTCTATGTCTTTTGCAGTTAACTTCCTTGCAATGTGGCAAGACAGTCACACCTGCCAAGGCTGGCTTTTAAGTGGCATAAAAGTAGTAAACCATAACAACTCAATTCTCGTCCAGACAAAAGGAAAAAGTTTTCTCTATTTCTTCAGGGTAAAGGAGAGCAAAGTCAAAAGAAGTCACTGGTGTTACACTGGATTATATTAGCAGAGTTTAGCCGAAAGATTATTGTAAAGCACTTGCAGAGGAACACGGCTACACCGATGCTTGAGCACAGAACAGATGACCCAGAAAGTCAGTTCCCAATCTTGCAACCTTTTCCCAGAACGCTGCTTCTACAAGTTGCTGCTTGAGGTACTGAGACCAAGAAGTGCCTGCTCTGCACTTCCCGCTGCTCTGCCACCACCAGTTCCTCTTCACAGTGCGTGCCAACATTGCAATAGGGCACGTGGATGTCACTGAAAACCTGTAACGTGACAACTACAGTCAGGCAGCTTCCTGATACTTCTGGCAGTAAGTCAGCTGGGTTAAAAGTATTTGATTATAAGCTGAGCAGAAATGTTAAGAATGTAAAATCTTGGTCTGAATCACTTAACAATGCGAGATATGGCATAGCCAACAGATAGTAAACTGCAGCAGTTCTGGGAAAGTTAAGTATGTTGGCATTACAAAATGAAATAACATTTGATTAAACCTTTCTTTAAAGGATTGAGCATTTTGGGAAGTGCTGTAGAAGTCAGAAGCACTCGTGAGCATTGTAACTGCAGGTAGAAGACACAAAGAAACAGCAGAATGAATTTGCAGATTCTCAGCTAATAGTGCTTGTGCTTGGAGACAAGATTCTCATACTGCTTTGGCAGGGGATAAATTTGGGTGGTTATTACCAATTTTAAGCTTTCTGCCAAAAGAGAATTGATATGAAGTTGAGTATGAGCTCACTAAAGCAAAATGTGTAGTGTTTACAAAAAGGGAGTTTGTAAAAAATGAGTTGCAAAATCTTACCCAGACACACATTGTCCTTGACAGCAAGGACATTTGTAATGTTTGAGTAAGTGACTGAAAAACTCCCAGAACTCAAGACAAATATCCTTGACCTTATGTTTCTGGATTCAGTAGGTGATCGTTTTGAGAAACAGAGTAGGACAGAGAGTGATCAGGGAAAAGAGGGCTTGTTTGGGTGGTGTTGGCTCATCTGTCTATTGTTTGCATATATGCTGGAGAGAGGGGAATGCAGTTCTCTGTTGTGTAATTCATGCAAATTGCACAATCACCGAGCATTTTGAAAAACAGTAAATGAGGTAGCAGAGGACTGGCAGTTGCAGGCTTTGATTCTGAATACCAGTGCAGCCATAACCACAGAGTTACATGAACAGATTGATATCCCTAGATTGAACTTCCAAGCATATGCATATCTCAAACTTAAACTTAACACTGTGACTGTGATGCTATTTATTAGCCTTTTACATGTGAGCTGAAGGATATGTGTGAGAATGAACGAACCAGTGTTTACCCACTGTTAATCAAACAGCATTCCAGATGGCCTAAGAGGCTTCCACTGATAGACATAAATGCTCTTCAGCAGTGTGATATAATTGGAAAAGGCTAAATGTCAGTTCATATTAGGGAGGGATTTGACCTGACAGAGAATACTAGCATAACTTTTGTGTACAGCCAGCCAAATTAACCTAAGTGGCTGTTCTACTGAAGGCCTCCAAGTGACTAAGGGGAGGGGGGTATTTTTAAGAGGAGAGGCTTAGGATTCTGACAGACAGTCACTTTTAGACCTAGAACCAACTTGTTATGTCCTTCTGCCCACCAGCTCCCCATTCTGCCCTTCTGCCAGGGGTAGGTGCCCTCACCGGTGGGCTGCAAGAAGGGAGCAGGTTCCCCTGATTGCGCTGCTTCAGTTCACTCACTGGCATCTTAGCCCAAGCCCCCCATGAATGGGAGTTTATGCTAATATGCAAGAGGAATGGCAATACTTGAAATACAATGACATATATCCCTCTGCCACCTGTACTGCCCTACTCATGATAATCTGCAGTGAAAAGCAGAAAAGGTAGTGGGGGGCACAAAGGGTCTGGACATGCCACTGCTGGCTGCTCCAAGTGCACATGCCTCAATGCCCCAGGTCCAGACTTGTTAGGGGAACTTCTGTGTGGAGCTCTGAAATACTGAGCTCCAGCTCAAAGGGATGGGGTTTACTCACCCAGTGTTTTTCAGACAGATCAGATTTCCTGATAGATTCCACTCACTAACCACAACATCTGGACAGGTTTCCAGTCCTTTTCCCCACCCCCTTGCCCCAGACAATCATCAGAGCCAGACAACTGCTGGAAAAGGGGGATTATCTTGAAGGGGAACAGTGCCTTTTCCCCCCGGGACTAAAGGACACACTTTTTTTTACTAGGATAAGGATTTCAGGTTGAATACAGCATTATAAGCAGGGGTTTCAGTGAGTAATAAAGATACACATAAGCAAAGACAGTCTCCTGCCCAAAGAACAGGAAATCTGAAAGAGAGAGGTGCGGTCACAGTGGGCAATCACTTCTCCTTGGCTAAGGCTCCATAATTATGGATTTACCTTCCAGAAAACCAAAGATCTCACTATCTACACAGTGAATGGTAAGGTACAGCTCTGCACATTAGCAGCTGGAAAATAAATAATAGGAGTTGGGAACATCAAGAGGAGCACTGATGTCAAACAGGAGCTAGTGATGAAAGGTTAAGGAAAATGTAGCTATTTTAAGGAATGATTTAGAAGAAGAAAAGAGTCATCACTGCTGCTTGAATCTCTTTGAATTGAGGCGTACTGACACGACTTCAAACACCCAAGGTTTGAATGATGCCACTAATAGAGCTGTCTGGATATGGACATCAGCTCATTAGCATCTTGGGGCCACTCGGTGCTGATCTCTTGCTTGCTAGAGACTCAGAAGACAATAAAGAAATACCAAGAACCTGAAGGGACCCACGTGCAATGCCTGGCTGAGGCTGAGGGTATGTCTGTATCGAGAATGATAAGGAAGAGGGGAAATGTAAAACCTCTTGTTTTCCCCTTGTTTTTCAAAAAGATGGACTGATATGGCAATCAAAACCACATTCAGCCTCACGCCAGTGGGCTATGAGAGAAGGCAGTCAACAGCCCCACACGGCCACCAGCGGTAGGTGCTGCAGGAAATCAGATAGAGGCCGTTTCCACCATGCCGTAACCACCTCTCACTTGGAATCTGCCTTTCCTTTGGTACTAAGAATTATGTGTTGTTGATGGAAGAAAAACTTGTTTCTCCCTTTTGTCCTCATTTTGGTCCTTAGGGATGTGGGATTTACTTGATTTTTGTTTTGTTCTCAGAGGTACAAAAATCTTTCATTTTTATAGAGGTATCCATTTCTTCTATCTGCTCATTTCAACAACCTTCTGGGTGTCTTTCCTCTGTCCCATCTTCCACTATCACACTACCAGATAGGAAACAGAGAGGGGAATGGAAGGTAGCCTGTTAAGTAGATTTCTCACAGAAGATTTTTATCGTGACAGCCTATAGGGCCAACAATGTAAGTGCTCTTCAGTTGTCTCTATTTTTGATGTTTTTTTTTATCAAGATCCTTAAAAAGAAAATGGAAGAGAAGCTTGATTCCAGTCAAGTGGAAGCTTGTCTATTCCTTATGTATCACTTAGTCCATTCCTAATGAACCACTGAAGACCATTTGCTCTGCAGTAAAGGTTCTTCAGTTTCCAACTGAGAAAAAGTTAGATTCCGCTTTGAATAACATTTTAAATTCAGACCAATGTACTATTTAATACTTAGATGTAAATGATTCCTTCCTAAATAAAGGTCCAGAGAAAGACCTAGGGTCCACGAAGTTTCATGTGAACATTTTTCACATTTGACTCTATGTGACACTCACTCTTGCAAACTCTTTTGAGAAGATTCCCATGGCACTGTGACCAGAGGAGGGGATCATTTATATGCATCGCTATCTCCCAAACATTAATTTCTCAGCTGACAACAAAAAAAAGGAGGCCTGAACATTGTGTGTACAATAGACCTGCCAGCCTTGAAAGTACTCAACTACCAGTGATCTCTCCAACAACTGACACTCTGACAATGAAGATACTTCCTTCAGTCTGATGGGACTGAATCCATAGAATGGTTTGGTTGGAAGGGATCTTCAAAGATCACTTAGTTCACAGCCCCATCCAACCTGGCCTTAAACACTTCCAGGAATGGGGCATCCACCATGTCTCTGGGCAACCTCTGCCACTGTCTCACCACCCTCACCGGGAAGAATTTCATTCTTCTATCCAATCTAAATCTTCCCTCTTCCAGTTTAAAGCCATTGCCCCTTGTCCTGTCACTCCCTGCCCTTGTACAAAGTCCCTCCCCACCTTTCCTGTCGGCCCCTTTAGGCACTGGAAGGCTGCTCTAAGGTCTGCCCGGAGCCTTCTCTTCTCCAGGCTGAACAACCCCAACTCTCAGCCTGTCCTCACAGCAGAGGGGCTCCAGCCCTCGGATCATCATTCAGCCCTTAGGAACATTACTAACATCAAAGGGAAATACATGAACACCAAAGAAAGGGTAAAGCCTGTATTGGTTTAAGTTAAAAATAGTTTTACAGGAGGGTGTAAAACAATTCAAATCTGTTGGAAGAGCTGTCAGGGCATAGTTAAAAAAGATCCTAAATGAAACAAAATATTCCAGGGACACTTTGTTCTTAGTTATTTAAAAAGGCAGGCACACTTTCTTTACTTCTGGGGTAAACATACAGTGAGCTTAACATGAACAAATCCATCTGATGGTTCCTCAAATTCTCACTTCAGGTCTAACACACAAATGCAGATAATAGCTGATTTTATATTAAACAATATGTGTGGAGAAAGCCCTACTAATGAGTATGAGGGTAGAGAAGAAGGTCCATAAAATATTGAAAGGTTTTAATGGAGTGAGTTCCTTATTTTCCTGTATGATACTGAAGACTGACAAAAATTATTGATTACTGATGATGATATGCATTCATTTACTAAAAGTAGGAAGCTAAATGGGGAGTTGGAACATTTGGAGAGTCAGGCATCAAAAAACACAGCAAGTATTTACTGACTCTTACTTATGTACTTCTGTACTTTTTCTGTAGGCACTTAACCTTTCTTGCACTGTCTGGGGAGATCCTGCCCCAGAGGTCTCATGGCTGAAGAACGAAAAACCATTTGTATCAGATGCTAACTGCACCCTGAAATTTGAATCTGGAAAAAATGTCAGCTTTACCATTTCTACTGTGTCCACACTCGACTCTGGAAAATACAGCATTGTGGTGAAGAACAAGTACGGCACGGAGACCAGCGATGTCACTGTAAGTGTGTTCATACCTGAGGAAGAGAGACAGTCCGATCAAGAGAAAAAGAAAGAAGATAAGAAAACGAAAGCGTGAATTTAAGACTAGAAAACAGAAGTATGGGGGAGATTTTGGATGACAGGCTGACATAATCTGTGTGTGTAAACGGCTTTCTGCTGTAGCAGGCAGCCTTGGATTTTTCCATTCACTTCACTTTGGCTTCTAATAGACTTAATTGTGCCAGGGAAAACAGGGCCTTGCCTAAATATTTTCTTACTGCTAACTTCACAGAACCTAGCTGTAGCATCTTCAGCCAGGCCAAATGCATGCTAGCTGTAAACACAGGTCCGCCGTTTGACACTCTTCCTGGAGCGTTTGACCCTCAACAAAAATGGAAAGGGTAAAGAATCGTTTCAGTGGAAGCAACTGATGAGGTAGATGGAAAGATAAAAAATGATTGAGGCGTTTTTGAGCAGCAGTTTAGATTTGTTCCAACTTTGGTAAAGTAGCATAGATGGAATGTGTTAGAGAATTAAATCATGGAGAAATTAGTGCTGGTTTTTGTCTACATTAAGGCCCCTTTGTATTGCTGTGTTAACTTAGAGAGGCCTTAATATGGGTGTCATTTGCATCCATAAACATTGTTTAATCTGCCCAATTGGGGTAAAAGTACTGTAACATAAATGAAAATCAGGCTTAGGAGGCCAGAATACTAATGCGTGTGTGTGTCTCCAAAAATGTATGAACTCTCCTCTGTGTTCACAAATAAACTGAAATCACTTCTTTCCTTCCATCACAAGCTTGTTTCACTGTGTCCTGTTTTACTAGTCACAGCTCTGGTAGTTGTGCACAATATTTTAGTGTCTTAATGCTTTCACCACTGTAATTACCTCTAGCTTCCCTTTAGATCCCTGTTACTCTTCACTTTACTGTTCACGACAAAACCCACGAGGGCATCTCTTCACACCTTGCTGTCCAGACTTTCATTACTTCACATCTCAACAAGGTTTTTTTGCAAGTTCAGGCACAGGAGTAGTCTCATGTGATTCAATGGACCTGCTCATGAATTTTGATTTAAGGGTGTTAGGTAAGTATTTTGTTAGACTGCAACCTCAGTTAATTTCATCCAGACTTAACGCTAGAGATCAGAAATAACATATTTTGTCATCATCTTCTAAAGCTACAAAAAGAATCTTCACTGGAACATAGAAAAAAATGTGGATTTTTTCAGATAAAAATGTTTCAGACAAAAAACATTTGTCCATCTCTTTGAACATGCTTATAGAGATTGAAAACTCCATATCAGCTATTTTACAATGCCACTGATTATTATTAGCTGAGGAAGAGCAACAGAATGTATATATATGTTCATCCAGCTGGACGTATATAAGATACTTACATGTGATACAATACATATCATCTAGACATATATATGATCAGAAGCGGGTATCAGCCTAGTTGCTAATTAGGAGAGCAATGTGCCATATTAATAATTCTTTTCATCACTAGTCTCACAGCAGCACAATTCTTCACATCGCAATCTAAAGAACTAACGTATATATTTTCAGTATAAGCATGATCTGTGTGCACCTTTCACATACTTTCTCTGGTCGTTTTTAGCTACTGTGACAGCAGAAATAGTGCTGCTTCCCAGGCACTCATTTTGCTGCAGTATTGGCATTTCTGTGAGGATGCCACTAGCAAGTGCTGTACAGTTAATGCTCACTTAAACCCTTGCCATCTGAGGTTACCGTCCCCTAACCTTAAAGGCAAAGTGGAAGCACGAGGGAATTCTTAATGGCTCGGGTAACAATAGATTCAACACAGTTACCAATGGTGAAAGTGGCAATTTTTGCAATTTTTAATTTTTTTTAAAAAATCAGTTTCTGTAAAGGGCTAATGATTATAATCTTAATCATTAAAAACCCAATAAATCCAGATTTAGATCAGATTTATGACCTACCAAAAAATGTTAGCATGTGTTTAACTTTATGCATGAGTAGTACCAACATGTTAAGTTTATCTGGTATAAATCTTTTTTATTCCAGAATAGATTTCACATCACAGGGATTTTTAACATGAAATTATGTAAAACTAATGTGCTTTCAGCATTTCACATAAACAGTGTATGTGTTCACACAGCCTTATCTCCTAAAGTAGTTAGAACTCAAGTATCAAACTTGATGACATTATTGCAATTTTAAGGTTTAAGTGTGTAATTACATACATTAATGATTCAGTATCCGTTATTAAAAAAAGTTCAGAGTATTTAGCCACAACAGCTGCGTATCAGACAAAGTAAGACAGCTTAATTTTTAAAATTCAAAATATAATTATGAGAATATCTGCAATGTGAGATACATCAAGCTTTCTGAGTTTAAAGAACTACTGTAAAATTATTTGATAATTTTGTGTAGTATGACAATGAAGTCAATCCAAGGATGATGAGCAGGTCACTCCTTCTTGGTCCCGGGACATACACTTTAAAACCAACAGTGTCATGTCTCTTCCATCCTCCAGAATGCAAACAAGAATACGATTTGCTCTTTGCAATACCCGATAACTGATGTTTATTACTTAGCATTAGTGCATTTTTAATAATGACTGCATTTTGGCAGCAGTTTATTTCTACTACTTTATCTTCAAAAATTGGTCCTCCTGCCTCTCTCCTGTTGTCAGAACTGTGAGGGAATACAAGTGGGCCATCTCCCAGATAACAGGCTGGATTCTACTTCTCTTTGCTTCGAAAGATGTATGTGTCCCTGAAAGTTTGAGTAATAGCTGCTTCTAAATGTATTGTTGCCAGGGATTCAGTTATGGTGGTTTCAAACTGAATTTGTGACGCATCCACATTTCTCGCTTGTGCACTTTTTGTTCTTGCTTTGCTTCAGGTGATTGTGATTTCTGTGTCAGGACAGACTAACACAGTCCAAGGACATGATCAAAATACTATAACTGTATCTAAAAAGAAGAAAACAACAACTGCAAGCAAACAGAAGGAAGGGGAAAAGAAAGGTAAGAGCACTTTCACCTTTATGGTCTTCTACTCCAACGAAAAAATTGTTAAACATTATGCAGTTAATAGTCTGTGCCAATCAGTATTTCTCAGGTGCCAAACAATCGTGTTTACAATATGTATGCTTTTAACCAACAAATGCAAAGTATGAATTGCCAGGTTAAACCTCAGTGAAAGAGATTTACACCAACACTTTTAAATCACCTTTCCACTGGGCTGCCAGTTCTCCCCTCGGCTCACCTGGCCGACAGAAGTTTTTTAAGCCATAATAAATACTTTCAAATTTCTGAACACAGAGGAAAGACCTCTTAAGCACGTATATATACACAGATGGTGTTATTTTCCAAAGGGACACTCATTGCAGAAGCAAGACCTTTGACACTTAACAAAAAAATAAAAAGGCCTTGCTAATTAAGAGGCCCTAAATGTCAAAGTGTTTTAGAAAACCCTGATTGCGTAGCCGCTATCTAAGACTAATCAACTATTCTCTCTTAGTATTGAATGGTAAAGTTGGAATTAAAAGTGACCGTTTTTTGTCCGATTTAGAGAAAGGGTGGAAAATGAAAAGCTCTCTGGTGACCCAGCATTCTTGTGTATTACAGATTTTTACTGTTCTTTTAGACTCTTACTATATAATTGCTACTTGGACATTGATTTATTCTTCACAATTACAACTCCCTCACGTAAAGCATTTTAGCTCCAAATAAGGCTTAAATTCCAACATTATCAGAACATCTGTTTTACATATTTTTGCCAAAGTATTTTTCCTTCGTATACAGGGTGTATACATGTTATATCATTGCTGACAGAACATTTTACACTGTTATTCCCCTCCCCTTTCTGCTCCTAAGGCAAGAACAAATATTTAACTGCATTTTTGTCCTGTCTTGCCTTACTGGTGTGGGTAACCTAGACATTTCTGAACAGTCCTGTAAATGAAATAACTCATGTGAGAAACTTACTTACATCTGTAAATGTTCTGCAGGTTCTACTCCTTAATTTTTTTAACTAGAGTCTATAAAGACCTGGGCTTGCTTTTTGCTCTGTAAAAAGTAGTAATTTTTTTGTGATACTAGATCTTTTTATACGGGTATGGGAAGAGGAAAAGAACATGATACGGTCATAACCAATGTGAAAGCAAAATCTTACTCTACGTACCTCTGTGTTGCTGAGCGTAGTAAATATAAGGGAAATTTTATTACTTCTCCTAAATCAGATTTTATTAAGCCACACGTAGAAGAAATTATTGCTACAGAAGAGACACCTGATCCAAATGAAATCCCCCCTGTGGAAACAGAAAAAGATACAAAAAGCAACCAGCGAGCAGCAAAGAAGACTGATGGAAAGGCAGCAGAAATGGTTCCTCAGCCCACAGAAAGCTTGGATAGGCAGGGAAAGAAACCACTGGAAAAAACAGCCTTGAGTAAACCCCATTGTTCTTGAATGAAGAATGGGATCTTCTTATGATCTGGATAGTAAGTTCAAGCTGAGGTTTCACAAGTGGTAGACTAGCCATAATATTTTAACACAAAAGTTTATTAGTGGTTTTTTTATAACATCTGCAATAGTTCATAACTTTAAACGCATAGTAGATGGGCACGTATGTCTCAGTACCAGATCAGTTGCACCGCAGTAATTTCTAAACACCTTAATGATCCAGGTACTGACAAGGTGATTTTAATTACTAAAAAATGTCCGTGATAAGCAAAGTTTATTAGAGCGAATCCTGTCCAGAACTGCCATATTTACTACTCTGTAAAAGAATGTTGATATCAGCTATGTGGATCTGTTAATTGATACTTGTAGGCCAGCACAGCTTGAGGCAGACCCTGCTGACTTTCTCAAGGAAACCGTACATACAGCCCTCTTAACACCATGTGGGCTGTACTTTTCACCATGACAAATTTTGGCCACAGGAGAAGATCTCCAGAAACAGAACCATTTCCTATGGATGCAGGGGGGCCACAAGTAGGTTTTCTTTTGATCCAAAGTTTCTTCCATGCAAAGCTGTTTCATCAGGTGGATCAGGACAACATCTGGCCATTTCTTATCACCGAGATTCCCATGACTGCTTTTCAGTCCTCTCCACTTCATTAATTCCCCTATGGCCTTGACAAGGTACTATAGATATAGCATTAACTCATAAAGCATCACCTGCCTCACATGGTCATTTCTCTCCACCCTTCTTGCTACAGCAATCGTATTTCTGCTTCCAAGACCTGCTAAACCCACTCTCCTCCTTGCCCTCAGTAGGATCAGACCCAATGGTTTCTTCTAAGAGAGTGTAGCTTCATGGTTCATACAAGTGAAGAATCTCTGCTTTAAATCATTACTGTGCTCATTCCCATGTCTGTCTACTGAGGATATAAGAAAATATGACTCATTTGTGGATGCTTAGATACTTTGGAAGAAGCAGAGTTCAAGCTGAAAAACAAACCAATAAAAATAAAGGTCAGAATTTATTTTGTGAATATGCAAGCTGAGTTCAACTTTTAAGTGACCAGAAATTATTAAATACAAGAAATAAAAATAAGATATTTTAATTACTAGGAAAATATTTTTATTGATATCAATTCTTAGAAGGCTCAAACGTATTATATTGGCTTTTTCCAGATGGATTATTGATGAAAGATTACTGGCCTCCACTGATATTTCAAGGGTATTAGATCTATGAGAAATTACTGAAAACAGTACAAATAACAGTTTCTGATCCATCCTTATAGAATTGTTAGCATAGGAAAACAAAGAATCTCAATAGCATGGAAATGTGTAACA